GAAAGTCCTCAAACAAATCATTCTTGTGCAAGTGGTCACATAACTGCTTTGCAACAGCTTTTTCAAGGATTTTGGAAATAAATGGGAGATTGGATATTGGTTTATAATTAGCTAGGACACCTGGGTCAAGAGTAGAGGTTTAATTACTGTAACTTTAAAAGACTGTGGAACATAACCTGTTAATAGAGAGAGGTTAATCAGATCTAGTATGGATGTGTTGATTAGGGGAAAGACGTCTTTGAGCAGCCTGGTCGGGATGGGGTCCAGGAGACATGTTGATGATTTAGATGAAGCAATTGTTGAGGTCAACTCAGAGAGATCTATAGGGGAGAAGTAGTCCAAGTATAAATGAGGTCTTACAGATGTTTCTAAAGCCATTGTAGTAGATGGCACATCTGCGAGACCTGTGGGAGTGGTCATTATCCATACTAAACTCTCACAGAAAGAAGTCAACGCTTATTTCTAAACCTGAAACATCTACAGAAGGGGAAGGGGAATCATCTACAGCAGGTTGAATATCGCACCAAAATATTGCTACCAGCTTTGTTGATATGAGCCATTTGGTAACATTAAATTATTTACACACAGCATGCCAGGAATCAGTGATGCTTTAGACTGGAGGGAGGCTGAATAAACTCAAAGATAAATTGTTGAATATTTGCCCTTTGGTTTGCAAACAACAAGTGTATTTGTAGATCAGTCAGGTTTTCAGTTATACTGTTACTATACATGTATTTTCAAATCTGTATATATTAGAATATTACATTGTCTGGACAAATCCAGGGAATCCAGGGAATAGATATGAGAGAGTTTACAGCCATACAAAGTTCTGTAAGACTATTGTAAAAGCTAATGTAAAGATGATGTTAGTATGCTAATATGGTCATGTTTCGCAGGTATAATGTTTACCATGTTAGCCATCCTAGTGTGGTGTGGTAGCATGCTAATGTTTCCTGATTAGCATTAAACACAAACAACAGCTGAGGCTGATGGGAATGGGACTAGTTTAGCCATGAACTAGAGTATTAGAAACATTTTATTTTAACTTGAGTGAAAACTAAAGGGATCCAAGTTCTTCCATTTCAGTTTGAGGGGGGACATGAATGTCTGTACCAAATATCATGAGAGTAGAAGCAAAACTTTACTTAGCTTTCAGGAGCTGACATCTGGGGAAGGAGGAGGCTGCATCCAAGCAGATTAAGAAAAGATGAAAGTCTTCATCCAACGTGCTCTAAAGATCAGCACTTTAATCCTCCAAACACTCCATTGGTTCCTTATTTACTCCTCTGCACTCTGCTACTTTACTTTTACTTTAGTTTGGGGTTATTTCCAGTCTCCAGTTAAAAGTTCTCCTTCTCCTCTTCACTCTCACTCCACTCACTGCCTGTTCTTCACCATGTTCTCTTTGTTAGTCAGCCCCTCCTCCCTGGTGCACCTCATTTAGCTCCTTCAGTTTTCCTACTTCCTGTCTCTTTTGGTGTAACAGCTTCTACCTTCCTCCTTCTGCCACAGACTTGTGGCATTGAGTGTTGTAAGGAGCCTTGTGAGATTTCAGGGGAGGTGAATCTGAGGCTGCTGTTCATTACAGGTAACCACATGACTGACACTTGATTGACACAGGTAATGCATTGACTGACACTGTTGAATTAAATAAAAAGAAACATCTCACTGATGTGTGATTGATGTGTGTTTGTGAGTGAATTCTCCTTTTGTCTCTTTTTCATGCTCTGGATACAATAGCCAAACAAGAATGTCTTCTTTTATTGTAATTCTAGGAAATCAAAGTATTTCTCACACTGATGCCAAAATAAAATAAAAATTTAATTTTATCACAAGGCATTTTTACTATTGCCCATGACTGTCCCATACACAAAGATATATTAAGGCAATAAATACCACAGTATCTATGAGTGTAGAAACATTTATATAATCTCTTGGTATACTCTGGCATGTGTATTTTTAACACCCCTCCCGAATGTATATATCGACTTCATAAGTACATGGACTTCTACTTGTTCAACATAAAAAAGGACTTACATGATTCTTTATCTGGGATCCTGAATTATTAAACTCACTGGGAAATGAGCAGGGGAATACATTTCCTCCTTCACAAAACCTTCTTTGGCAGGCGCTATTAGCCTATAATATCTGTAAGACAAACCAATGTCACATTCAGAAAGCAATTTTCTGTCCACAACGCAATCTCAGCTATTAATTGCCTAATGAACAAGATGTTATCCAAGGATACCTTTCCAATGTCTACTCACAGGAAAAGGAGGAAGAGGACTTAATATGATGGAAATAAGTGTGACAGACCAAATGCTCCCTGCTGAATGTACTGACGCATGCTCTGACCTTCCCTGTCAATCTGGAGGGCAGACAGGGTGGCCATTTATGTTGTGGCGGCAGAGCCCAGACTGCAGAAAGAGCTTTCATCATTACTCCCAGAAAAGCCTTGTCAGAAAGCCCGAGCTTGTCTGACTGCCTGTGGGACAGAAATAACAATAAACAATGAAAAATCAGAGTCAGAATGGTTGGAACTTTCTCAGGGCCTTTTTTGTCAGGCTGTGCAATCTCCTGTGTATCATTGTGAATTCACTATACTTAAAGTCATCTGGATTTCTGTGATATTTTTGAAACTCTGTGGTCAAAAAAAGCAGCGTGCAGCCCGGCACACAGCCAGGCAGATGGATACATCGGCAGCCAGGGTACAAGTCAGAAAAACAACAGTCCTGATTTGATTAACTATTGAGCAATTACCTAATGTATTCATTTGTATAATACAAGAAATCACTGGGCATTTAATCAATTAGGAGAGGCTGACATTTCAGAATACTGCAAGACATAATGCTCCTCATTATGCTTGATGGCACTGATGCACTGTAGAGAGCGAAACTTATCCTGTGTTTGTTACTAGAAGAATATATAAAAGTTGAATAATTTAAGGCAAAACTACAATTATGACATTTTAATGAGATATTTGTAAAACCTTGCATCAATGTGAAATTCCATCAGCTCATATTTGTTTTTGCTAAACGTTTCCAGGTATTCAATCACTTCAGCTCGCACCGCTAGATTTAGCTGCAGAGAAAATGACAAGCAGCACTGGTAGGCTGCCAACAAGTTTCAGGATTATGTCATCATGTCAGTTTTTATAATGTGTATATGTGGTTATTTTAAATGACTCATTGACTATTCATTCATGTACAGCGGAGATGTCATCACTAGTGTTGGCCCTTGTGTAGGTGTGTGTTTTGTTGTCTGAAATGCCTGGAAAAACAGATCGAAAGACTAAACCGGGTCGAGTGGAGAGACGAGGCAGCAATGCAGTAACCTACCAAGTATGCTTGTCATTTCAAAACATGAAAGAGATCAAGGTGAGAGGTGTCATGGGTCCAGATGTGGTTGTGTCTTGTTTGGTGAAGATAATACACATCTGGAGACAATTAGTGGGCAAATGATCTGCTCTGGCCACCAGCTATCATCACCATCACACCCCTGTGTCAGTCAGATCCACTTGAGGCAACATGAAGCGACACCTGGCACACAAAGGTGAGACATTTACTATGGGAACATACAAGTGCCTCCATTCTTTAGTCATACTGGAGCTTTCAATCATACTCCATGATCTTCATCAGAAGATTTCCAGTTTTGTATGAGCACTTTAAAAAAACCCTCCTCCATGTTAGCTTATAACTTGAAACAAACACAGATACATTGTGACAACTGAAAATCCCAAAGTCCAGAACAGCTACTGCTGTAAATGAACCTTTTGGTGAGATGCAAACATCAACATCCCATCAAGTCATTTTTTCTATTGTTGTGTCCTAAAGGTAATATTTATATCAACCTGTTTCAAATAAAACAAAAATCAAGGTGTCTCAAGTAAATCAAGTTATTATTACAGTGAAGACATCTGTCATCTATTCTGTACTGGTTATTGTCATACAAATGTCTTGTAAATTCTTTTAAAAAGTTTATTTGTATAGGAAATATGATGACCTTACTGATACCCTTCTGCCATATATGCCAAACTAGGTCTATGCTAATTTAGAAAGCACTGACAAGTTGATTTTTTAACATCCTGCTTAATATGTAGCTAAGTCACAACTCTTTTAAACAAAAAATTACTGGTTCCATATCCAGACTGTTTTTTTACATTATGGGTTTAAATAAAAAACGATTCCTGAGCTGATATAGCCCATTTTAAACACCCAAATATTAATACCAATATGGGACTCAAAATCTCTGCATCAATTATACTAAATTAAATATTATATAATAATTTTTGAAAGACTTGATACTGGTCAAATGTCATAAAATTGGACTTTTTATTCCAGTTTCCTAGGGCTAAAATGTAGTGTGATAACAATACTGCAGCCTCGTATCTATGTTAATCCTTAACACAAACAACATTTGCATGTTTCACTATGTCATTCATGGTGACTCATCACAGCTACGTTTAGGTGACCACACTGGTTGTCAGTGGGACTTTGCTGACAAGAGCACAGTCACCATTTTGCCAACTTTGAGCACCACTTCATTTACATTGCTTTCACCCTCCAAAATCCACCACTCTGTCTCCAGACAGTATGTACAGTTGGCCTTGCGATGCTGACAGACAAAAGACTGGATCTCTGAATGATGAGCGAGATGAACCCTACACAGCAGAGTTTGAAGCCCCCGGTTGTCAGAGTCCGAGGGCTGAGTTGGTATCTGCTACATATTTTGTCCATGGGAAGGGCTACCATGATACAAAGTACTACAAAACTTCTTGTTCTTGTACAAAAACAAACATTTTGTAGAAATCCTGCATTTTAAACAACCGATACAGAGTGAAAACCGCAGGTGGCGTAGAAGGACAGACGTGAATAAGGACTTTGACAGTACATTGCTTTGCAGAGGCTTTGAACATAATAGGCATGGTGGAACGTTCTTTACAATGGCAGAACTTTGGCACAAGAAAGGCATTACAGAATATAACAATGAGCAATTAACATTATCAGCATAGATGATTCCAAACTAGGTATCAATTTTATACATCGGTTCATAGTAAACCATTCGGCACTATTGTTCTGTTGTTGGTGTTAGATTACTGTTTGTTTAAATGATTTGAAAGAAAGTGGAGCCACTGATGGGAGGGGCCGATGGGGTCACACACACACACACACACACACACACACCTACAAACACACACACACACACGGAGGGTAAGACAAAAGGGCATTGACATCAACAGAAAAACTACATCTGGTGTTACTGTCACAATAGAGTTTTTCCCTTCAAGTGTGTCACATGAGTGTGTGTGCATGTGTGTTTTAGTCCACTTCTAGTACAGACCCAGACTGTACTCAGATGTTTCGTCCCAAATCTGATTGGATGATTTCAATTTACATACTATCAACCCAAACCCATGAGTCCTTTCTTTCTAGATCCCTTCAAAAAATGGACGTCACAGTGAAGTGACACTGCTCAGGTACCTATATTTCCACAGGAAACATCTGTCTACATAAGCGAGTGGGTTCAAAAGAAATCCTGTTTTGACTGCTAATTTCAGTCTGTGGTTAAGTGAGCATTAATTTAACCCCGTCTCCCCTCTGTATTTGTTTACTGAGGGGTGTGTTCGGGACATGGTCCAACGTTCACGCCATTGTTTCCTTCCCTGGGAGTCTCCTGTCATTGAACGTGTGCATGTTAATGACCTCCTCTGTCTTAACGATGGCGGGCGGCTGGGGCTTCTGTTTGAGACGGCGCTGACACTTCAGAGACACACGTAGTTCATCCATCATGGCGCTGCAGAATGATCTCTGCAAGGTGACAGGAAAGAGGAAGAAGTTATAGCTGGCACCGTGCTGCCTGCACGAAACCGAGCAAATACTGGAATTTTTGTCAACACTGAATATTGGCAACACATTAGATTGCTTGCTATTGTAGTAGAGGTTTCTCCTAGGCTACAAAATGAAAATTGATTTGCTCGCATTGATTGGTAACACTGTTTGAACTGTCCATCATTAAAGCCATTATAAATATTAAATTCCCATGTGATTAATGCTTTTTGAAATTCTGATGATTTGACAGTCCCACAAAAAGCTGGTGCACTCTGTATGTTCCTTCAGGCCATTCATGTCACCTCTGTGTGTCTGGGTCACTTCTTTTGTTACCACTAGGGGGCACCGATATCAGAAATGTTGAAAATCCTTCACACAGTGGCGCTAATGCTTCAAAAGCCAGTTGAGAGTCATATTAAATGAACATTAATGACTTACTGGAGAAAAATGATATTGCTTTAATATATAGTTTGATATGAAAATGTGTTTAGTGCCATACTTTAACATTTTCTTTCCCTTTTCATCATTTTGTATAGATTAGTTCTGTGTTGATTTCATGTTGTATATGCCCCTGCCCTTTTAATCAGAAAACAATAAAAAATCTCAAGACTTTCAAGGTTTTTGATTAAAACAATTTAAAACCCAAACTAAAATGACTTCTTAGACTTTAGAAAGTTCCTCCAGAGAAACAAAAGACAATATACAGCTATTACAAACAAATTATGACTAAAATGCTCTTTATGTGTAAAGTTGGTGAAATTCCTCTTTAACTTTGACATTTTTGACTAAAGATCCAACTAAAATTATGCTAGGTCTTATAATTGTAAACAATATTTTGGATAAAACAGGCCTTCATTTAAATGTTTGATGTGTCCCGGATTTTACTGTCACAAAGATCTGAATGCTGTTTCAGACCCTTTTGCGCTCTGCCAAGAACTAAATCCTCGAAGAAACATCCAACACTTGATATTTTTGGCACATGAGTGAAAAATGTAAAGGTACTGAGATGAAGACAGAATATCCACTTCAGTAGATTATCCCAAAATACTGGTACATTTTTCCAAAATCATCAATCACCCCCTCCTAAAGTGTTATGTAACTTCTGTAATATGAGCTTCTGTTGTCCATGCATTATGCATGTGGCGTGAAATCCTATAAAATGCCAATATGCTTGTGCACCAACATTGCCAAGACAAATTCCCATGCATTCACTTTCTATGCAAAAATCTAACTCAAATTCTTAAAGGGTGTAGGAGGAGAGAAGGGATGAAAGAGGACGGAGAACAGTAAAGTATAAAGCTATTATTTTTCTGTGTGTATGTGTGTAGGTGTGTGAGATGGATATCTCTAGGTGGCTTATGCACCAAGTATTTTTGGTTTTCCAGTTTTTACATATATTCTCTGCTGTATGAATGAGAGATGTTGTATACTTGAAAAGATGAGTGATTACAGAAGTAGAGGGGGGCAGGAAGGGTGCGAGAAAAAGAAATGTTGAAAAACAATGAGGGTGTTATGGATTAGAGTGAGGGGGGAATAATGGAAAATCGGGTGGTAAAAAAAGTTGATGATGTTAGAGTAGAGAACGTTGGCAGGGAGAGAAAATAGAGAAGGAGAGGCTTGTTGTCAGCATGTAAATTACTAACACCTTGGCAGCCTAGAGACTGTGGCATTTGCAAATTATCTCAATACTGTGACCCAGTCTTGCGGCTCTTGATTAATGATATCTAAGAAACATATGCAGCCTATAAAAAAAAGCTAGAAACCAATTACTATCGCAATAAAGTAACACGCTGCTGCACTGCGCTAATTCTGTACATGTAAATAATTAAAAGACGCCATCAAAAGGACTTTCACAATTATCTGGACACATCATCACATAAGTTAAAGTGCAGTATAATACATACTTCACACTGTGGGATGAATCATGGCAACTCAGTACTAAAATAGAGCACAGACAGAAGAGTCTGAAATGTATTCAGGCTCTTGCTTGAACGAAACATAACCGGAGGGGGGAGAAAACAGCTGCACATACAGAATGCAGCACTGTATGCATGGTGAATATTTTAATTTCAGACAAATTACAGTACGCAATTAAAGGACGAGATCACAGGATAATACTCAGATAATGTATGTACACTGAAAGAGACTATAAATGTTCTGTCCGTCCATGGCGAGACTCAATCCTCATGAAATCAAGAGACAAAGAGGACAAAGTCCACAGTCCTCTACCCACGCAGAATTGCGTTTGTAGTCAGTAGAGGCTATAATATGATGCTTTAGCAGTGTGACTTTGACAAAGTGAGTCAACCAAAGTACAGAATTCAGCTTTAATTCAGCTCTGCAAGAAAACTGTTTAACGCAAAAATGAATGTTGTACCAAACTTTGTAAAATACTCACTTGATTAGCTTCAGCTCATATTCAGTGTACATATGGACATGTTAGTACTGTTTTAAGAAAAGTTTTAAAACTGAGCCATAAATTCTTTAAATTCCTGCAAAAGATAACAAACATTTAATTCTTAAAATGTATCAGAAAAGCTTCCAGTACCTTCTCCAGCTGTGCGTTCTGTTTAGACTTGTAAAGGACCTCCCCTACAGCCACAAACACCGACAACACCAGTCCTGCAGCCAGCACGATGAAGATCCCACCAATGTTCTGCACCCCCAGAGCGCTGGCCTCTTTACTCTCTTCCTCGGGACAGCCGTTCCCTCTCCACCACTTCTCCTTCATCATGTGCAGCTTCCCTTCCTCCTGTAGCTGCAGAATGGCTATGGTGATCTTGTCTCTGTATGGAGAGCCTGCGGGGATGAAAACAACATGAGACTGATGAAGATGGATGACATTCAAACTACTCCAGTGTTCTACAACAGTTCTGCAACAGCAACCTCCAAAAAGACAATTATCACTTTCACAAAAGAGGGTTGTTTTAGTTAGGTGTACCTAATAAACTGCCAACTGAGTGAATTTGGAAAAGAAGATTAGAAAAACATGATTATATACATATAACGTGTAGTGGTGGGTGCATGAAACATGCTCTGGCTTGCATGTGATCATATAAAATCTGTCATGTTATTGGCTGCTTTTATTTTGGTAAGTCCTTCTTCAAATCCCACTAATCCCTGTATTCACAGAGTGATTCCAAAATTCTCACTCCTCTCTGCAGTGTGGGTGAATCATAACGCACAGGGGGGTTGGCAACAAAGGCTTTGTGTAGCAGGACTGCTGTTGATTCTGATGAATTGCTCCTGTTTGCTGCTGCTTTCTTATTCCATAAATGGTGCATAAAGCAGGAAAAACAGTGAAGTCCAGTGGGGTGTGCACTACATGGGTGCATATGCGTTTGGAATTATATATGTACAGTATATCAGAAATAGAAATTCTCTACAAGTGTTTTCATGCATGCTGATGCTGTACTGAGTAAAAGGACACAAATCCACAGAAAGTGGTAAGCGCTGAGGCATAAAGGCGCAGCGGGTGCTGACATGATCAAAGGAGGAGTAATCGTTGGAGAGTACCCGAGTGGGGTTGCGTTCCTCTCCTATCTCCCATGTGTGACACAACACATGGCCGATCAAGTCACAGCACAAACACTCTGCCCCAACCAGGGGCAGAAAAATTAATACTGACTGTGAGTGTTCATGCTGCATCTATGTTTTACACACAAGTTAGTGTATTTATGTTATTTCAGAAATCACAAGTAACGAAGCCTGGTTGGATATTCTCATTTCCATTTGAAATGTTGTGACTCATGTGCTAAAGAAATGTGAATTTTTTTTATCATTCTAGAAATCATTTTACAAACATGAAAACCTTTTGTGCTAAAACTCCTGAAAATGAACTGAATCCTAGCCCCAGGTAGCCAGAAGCATCACTACGCCTGCTGCTCTCAGACAGTTCTGCCTGTCAGCCCCTTTAGTTGATTCTCCCTCTGTCTCATCTATCATTTATCTAGTGCCATCCATCATCCTTTCATCTCTGAGCCTCCATGTATTTAGACTGACAAAGGTGACATTAATACAAAAACTGAAAATTACACAGAGTGTTGCTGATTTTTGACCAGCATATCTGTGTTTGCCTCTTTGTTCATAAATATTTATGTTTATGTAATGTTTTTACTGGCATTTGTTTGTTGGTTTGTTCACAGCATAAATGATAAATGATGTAATAAATGGATTTTGCTGAAACTTCCACAAAACAATCCATTAAATTTTGATGCTGGTCTGGATCATCATCTGGACCTAGAAACCTTTTTAAAGGATTTTTTCACCATTGTGAGATAGGGTCAATTTTAATATTATACATAATGCCCACTGTAAAATGCTTAGGCAAAAACCACGGTCTGGATCCAAGTAATATTCTGGATCTGCTGATCCAGAATGTTCATATTTATAGTGCTCAGGGGAAACTGGCTACTGTGTAATAACAAATAATGCTACAGACCTGCAGCTAAGATCACATTTCTAGCTGAATATTGTTTTTACACCATTAGGAGGGAAATGATCTTCCTTGGCGGAGGTTTGCGCTCTCTGAGCGCTGTCTAGTTATATATACAGTATACGTTAAACTATGTGCACTATATGTTTTTCTTTACAAAGTGCACACTTTGAGATGATAACCTAAAGTCCATACACTATATATACAGTGTACATATACAGCAGATATGTATTACTCTGAATACACAGTTGTATATATGCATATGCATAGCACACGTTTGGATCGACTTAAGATGAGAGATCCATCAAGTATCTGAGTCCACTGATTGTGGCTTCCCTCATATCTCAAATGATTGATGATAGCTTAACAAAGCAGGCTTTGGATAAATGCTAATAGGATAGGCCCTTAGAGAGGAGGATATGGAGAAGGAAAAGCGCTGTGCTTGACACACTATGCATACACAACGATCTGACAGATGTTCAACACCAGAGGACATCCATCACTCCCACACTGTCTGGCCTCGAGTATTAATGTGATCACAGTTTAGGTTGATGCCGCATTTGCATTTTGGGAACAGAAAGCGTGAAAACCGATAAGTGCTAAAAGGTAAGTGATTTTACGGCGTGCTCTGGTTTACTGCTGTAACAGCCCTACAGGGAATGAACTGCTAAACAGTGTTCGGCAAGGCAAAAGTTATAGACTAAAGGTTGATGTGAAGGCTGAGGTCTTCACTGGGTTTGGGGACAAGGACACAAGAAGAAAGCATCTGAAAAAAAGAAATATTCCTACTCTTAGAACAGGACCTCTGGCATTAAGACAGAACTCCCATTGAATTAATGAAGTAATTAATGGTCTCCAGACCTCTTCTACAACAGAAGAAACATTTAACAGGCTGCAATAGGCTGCATTTCTGAAATACTGAGCAACAAACATCAGGATTAGAAATTAAAATGAGTTAGAGGGCAGTAATAACTTTAAAAGCAGACATGTTAATTATTTCTTATGTATTTAAAGGCTAAACTACTTATTGCTAAATTAAAATGATGTCTGCTATATTTCTTAGCCATATATTTGAACAAAAGAACTTATCCACGTTCCTGGTCTGTGTTCATCTCAGAGGCATCAGTGTAAGTACTTCTGTGGGACTATACTTCACAGTGCCACCTCAGCTTTGTTACATCCAATCCAATCACAGCATCCCTGCAGATCTACTGCTCCAAGCTCATCAGCAGCAGCGAGGTCAAGATGTGGATGGCCAGAATTAATCTCTCATATTTTGATGGCCTTCATATCACTGATGATAGATGTGGCCATTACAGTTGGTTGCAGTGCTGTTCCTGGCCTCGTCACGAACACTCTAACCTGTGTGAGGCTGGGATTGGATCCATCACCAGCTTATCACCAGCTTTCAGCTTCAGGAGCGCCATGATTGTGAGCTCCACAATTATTAACCCTGATTTCTACAGTATACAACATAAATTTTATAATATGAGAAGTGGAAAACACCTAATTCGTGATATGATTTGCTAAAATGCTAAATAAACACAAAATAGTACTTTTGATGGTTTGAGTGCCTCTGCCTCATCACAGAATAATGGCACTTTAAAATGTCAGAACACTAACTTTTGTCAGGAGCTGGGTCAAATAAGCAGTTGAAAATAGTGCTTGCTTTTCACTCTCTAAAGTGTTTTGTTGTGGTGGTTTAATGCTCAGATACAATTCAGACAGTGTCAAGTAAGTCGCAGGGAATTGCACCAAATTGACGCTTGGGTTTCTGTGATTTTTTTTTTTTTGTTGCACTCATAATCGAGCCTTATATAACCTCAAAGTGCTGGTTTCTTGAGCCCCGGGCTCATTTTAACCTTATCCATAAATTCAACATCTTCAGCCATTCGGTTTTCATTAAGCTAAACCTTTTACTCTTCACTCTGTTGAACCATTATAAGCGTGACCCCATCAATAAAAGTTAACCTTTCCATTCTCAAAGCTTATCCGTCATCCATACAACACACAGTATCTTTACCTGTCACATAGCATCTGCAGCATCTCTCTCTCTGACCTAAAACTATACCACAGCAGGCAACACTGAGGTGTTTGGAGGTTTGAGGTCATTTACCCATAGGCGTTCCCACTCCGTAGGCTTTGGAGTCTATGAGGCCTCCGATCTGGGTGAGGTTACAGTTGCGCTGGGTGACAAACTCAATGGTGGTGGACTCCATGAGGAAAGCATAATCAGAGGTCAGGACACGCTGGATGCCCTCCTCCACGTTCTTGACCATCACAGATTGCCTCCTGCTGTTCATGAACTCCCACATCTTGTCATAGGTAGAGATTTTTGTCTTCTGCAAGTAATGAACAAATAGGAGGGATGAGGCTGGAAGCAATGGAAGGAATGAATATGATGGTCATCTCTAAATGCAGTTTTGTTTCACTGTGTGCCTTTTCATTTCGCAGGCCATTTGGTTAATGTCATTGCAAAACGTAGTTACCTAACTTATCTGAGAAACAAAAATATCAACCCAACAATGTGTCTGATGCTATTTGCAAATGGCAAATTTTCATTCAATCTGTAAACTGCCTCTTTATATAGTATCTTTTATTGCTAGTGGTGGTGCCATCACTGAGCTTAATTCAAATTACCTACACAGGAAGCAATGCATGAGTTTAATCCTTCATTACTGTTAACACCCTAAGAAGAGCTGTATTAGGTTACTGCTAATGCAAAGTGTTTCATTTACTAATACAAACCTACTACCGCAGCTGCTGTGCTGTAAATGTTTAACTGTTGGAACACATGGTGGCTTTAATTGTAAAATAGTTCAAAAAATGTAATTGTCAAAATGTACAGTATCTACAAAACAAGATGTGGTAATTTTTCAGCGTTTGTCACTGGATCAGTTACAGAAGAACAAAAAAGCAGTAACGGTGGGCTGCATATGACAGGCTGACCACCTCCAACGTCTGCAACAAGAAATCAGTTTACAGCTGCAACTATTACTGACTGACTTCATTATTAAAACAGTGGGACTCTGTGTGGTTGCACTGTAAACAAATAAATCACTTGCTTTTCTGATGTATGACAAAGTAACTGCTCCAGTGTTTGCTCTGCTATAAAAAAAAAATACTTGCTGTTTCCACCAGTAAACATACAGTAGGTGTTGGCAAATCACTCACAATTCAAATCTTAAAGGTTATAACTTTAATAAGTGAAAGAGGGAGGTTACTCATAAAACCAGTCTATAAACAGCGGCAGACACAGCTACCTTGAAGAAGGTCATAGTGGCTCCATCCTCCACCACCCCATATGGGATTTTAGTTTGTTTGGCCAGGTCATCGGCTGAGTCTATGGGTGACTCCATCCTCTCCACAGTAAGGAAGGCAGCCAGGTTGGCCGTATACGAGGAAATGATGATGAGGGTGAAGAACCACCAGATCCCTCCCACTATTCGAGTTGACAACGCCTTGGGCATGAGCTCTGAGCCTGGTGTTGGGGACGTGGCAGGAGTGAATGTAACACTGTAAAATGTATTCATCTCAGCAAGCCCACAGTATGATTCCAATCTTGTTAACCGTAAAGTTTATTTTTACCATTAAAAAAAAAAAAAATCAAGATAAGATTAGTTCATTTAAAAACAGCCAAAGTTATTCCAAGGACTCTCTTGAATTTTCCGGCTAAGCAGATGCTGTGCTTGCCTCAAGATGAAATCACTCGAGAGAGCTCTCAAAACAAGATGTAGGCTGGATTTCAAGCAAGTGAAATTATTTTGTTTCAGTCACAAGTGAGTGTTGTAAATAATGCAGAAGACACAAACGACTCTAGAGAACAAGGTGTTTGAATAAATCAATCAAATCAATATCAATCATTTGGAACAGTGTTGAGAAGAAACAAGCTGTTTTGGGCCAGAGAGTCATGCACCCAAGGTAACCTCACATCCTGACTCCACACCCCACTGATCTCTAGGTGCTGATGGACCAAGGACAAGAGGAGAGAGCGCTGGGTTTTACAGTACTATCATTTCATTATAGAGTTATCATTAAATATATATATACTGAATATATTATGTGACTAAATCACAGTAGTCAGACCTGTTGGTAAAAACACTGATAACAGTATATTTCTTGAAATTATAATTCAGGGCTCTAAAACAAGAATAATTTGTACTTAATGAAGTGGTATGAGGGCTGTTAAAATGTGCCCCTCTCATATACACATTTCTCAGATGAACATATACGGACTATAGCTTCCTATGAGCCAAATTGATTAAATTAAAAAGAAAAAAAAATGTGTGCACATTTACTCTAAATTTTGCCTAAATCCCAGAGGTCTCTCTCTGTCGCCGCTGGCTTGTATAAAACAACCCAACCCACAGACACAGTGGGATATAGAGAGCTCCAGGCTGAGGCAACTACCTTGCTGCATGAGAGCCCCAACTCCAAACCAGAAACTATTGAGCAGGGTAAAATTGTTTTCCACTACATCCGAGTCAGGGTTGCATGGATGAGGGTTGTACCACTCGTAAGGGCTAAACCTATAAAAGGAGAGAGCAGAGACAGATGTCAGCAGAAAGCACAGAACAGAGCAGATTAAACAGCAGATAAAGCATAAATGTTACAGTTCTGTGAGCAGGAACAAAGGGAATGTAAATGTTTAGGAATTCTGTGCTGTGGCCTCAGGGTCAGAGCTTCTGCAGAGACCAAAGCAAATAATTCAGGCTTTTGGTGAGATCAACTTATTGGCATATTCAAATGCCATCAGTTTATTGTGACAACGGATCAATAGACTGAAATAACACTGTCACAGATGATTATGTCCCAGTGCGTGATGGTCTTTGGAGCTCATTTGGATTCACTGACTCATGAGCCTTCATATGTTTCCCCCACCAACTGCCATCGCCCTCATTCTGCAGATGGCATATCCTTCTCATACCCCCCAGCATGGGACTTATGCTCTTTTTTTCCTTCTGGTTTCCCAACAGTCATCTGTTCTTCACCTCTTTAGCTTCTCCTACTTCTTTCACATCTCCATCTCTGCTTTCTGCCCTGCACCACTCTCACCCCAGCAACCTACAGCTACTTTATTTCCCCCGATTGCCATGCTTTTTTTTTTTTTAAATGAAACTCTCCTTTTCTCCCTATCCTCCAGCTGCCTGCCTCAGCTGATTGTCAGTGTTTTCAGGGCGGTTGTGGACATTTCTAATTTATTATCCTAAACACAAGTGGCATGGCATTAAGCACAAGGTGATTGGGTTAGTGTTAAGCATCAGGGACTGATTGAGTTTGTGCTGAAGTGGTTGATAAAGGGAACATTGCTTATGCAGAGATGAGGATCCCATCAGGTACGGCTGTTTTGGAGCTTTTCCCCAATATGCTGCATGCTAATAAGCCTGTGGGCCAAGTCTTAAAGTTTCAGACTGCGCAGCAATGTGATGCTATTTGTCAGCTTCAGCTTTTAGAGATCCACAAGGACATCTCATATTATATATATATAGACCATGTTTACAAGACACTGAGCAGCATTTCACATTACGATTCAAATGTTATATGATGGCTGTTAAATTCTAGCACTGTTTGCCACAGAGTCTGAATGACTGTGTTAGATCTACATAGAGACATGTCACTGGATTTCTCTCTGTTGTTAGAGCAGCCTAATTAATGTGATCATTTTACAAAAATGTTGAATGTGGCAACATTTTTGTCATACTGCTCTGCCTTTATATATGTTGTTGCGATGACACACTATAATTCTTCCTGTCAACCCCATCAGGATGCCTGATTGCTGGAATGTCAATGAGCTCTGTCTCCTTGGAACCACAGGCAACTGAAACAGCAAATTGGCCTTGTGGAGCTGTGCAGACTGCAGTGTGTGCACTCGCATGTGCTCCTGTGTGAGTGTTTATCAAGCCTCTGGCGCATTAATGTTTGCGCATGTGCCTTTATATAGCTGTGGGGGTGTGCATTTGTTTGTGGTAGCAACTGTATTTGCATTGGCTCAGTCAAATTCATTTCACCATCAAATGTTTTCTGTGGTGGTTTATTTATGTTGTTCACAGATGCTACAATGGCTAACTGTTGGAGACATCAAATAGTTGCCTTTGGGTACGGCAGTGTGTGTAAATCTGTTTGGACTGTGTTTGTTCCTCTCAGTCTTTCCATGAGTATTCTGCATGCAGCAAGCCTGATGGCTCCTCTGGATGACCTTTGCTTGCAGCCAGCCCGTATTCCTGCCGGCCGTGTTTTGCACACTGATCGCCAGGAAGAAGGGATGTGGAACATGCAGACGTAAGGTCACCTCCTCACACCGAGCATGGGGGACATGTTGAATTGCAGGCTGAATTCTGAAAAGATTTCTCTTCTTGCTCTCTCTCTCCGTCTACCTCTCCTGTTCCTTTTCCCCTTCGCCTGTTCCCAGCCACAATAACACAACATGCTCCCTCCTTTAACTGTCTGTTGGATTCAATTACTCTGGCTGACGTTATAGATCTGTTGCCTTTCTTCTCTCAGTCCAATTGAAGAGGTTGTGTTAGGGGTTGTTAAAATCATGGGTATCTGGGACTTGGACTGCTAAAGTGCAACAGCCTGTAATTATATGTAAACATTTATGCAATTTTAATCAGCCATTCTTCCTGGCATGTGGACATTTTCTAAAGTAGAAAAGGTTCTTTTATTTTGTTAATAAAGAGAGAAATCAATCACAAACAGAGCTGGAAAGAATGTATTTCTCTGGAGCTTGAAATGAGATGGATTATTTAGTCAGAAAAAGTGAGTATTTGTGTGGGAAGCGATTCAAAGATGTTGCAAATCCCTGGTGAGATTGAGTTGTTTAGCATTTTATTGCTCAAAACCGGGACTTCATTATCTCACTCCACTCATTCAATTTGTAGATGATAAA